ACACACAAAATAGCCTATTGGTGTAAAAGTTCTACTTGATCTCCACTAAGTCCACAAGAGTCCACAAAAATAAGGCAAAATTAGACTTTTTCAGCACCTGCTTTTCTCTACAACCAGCTATAATTTCTGCACATTCACTTTAGTTATGTTTCATTGGAATAAGTGAAGCATGACTTTCTTTTTAAATCACAGGTTCCGCAATAAATTTGTGTGAAATTTTGTCTCTTTCAATATTTTCTTTATAAACAGAATACATTCTAATTATGTAATCCTCACAAACAGAACATCATTTACAACTCATAAAATGTACATGCACGGAAAGTCACCATTCTCCCCAGAACGGGTTATTGAACCATTCAAATGATATTGCAAAAAAAAAAAAAAAAAAAAAAAGAAGTTCTAATAGACTTAATATGTCTTAATAAAAATATATGATTAAGTTGAAATAGTTGCCAAGTGCCCCTTTAATGGTGTGCTTTTGGTTTTATTGATATATCTATTTTTTTTCCCTACAAAATATCTACATTTATATTCAACTTAATTTGACAGCACAGTATCAACGTATCAAAGACTAAAAAGATAAAGACATTGACATTTAAATTAGGGAAAAATAAACAAAACACACTCTAAGTGGGGACTGTTAAATCAAATATCAGAAGCTTCAACCCTCCAAACCCTTGTTCAATTTGATCACATTGAACAAGCTACAGAATTCACTTTGGAGCAACAGTCAACAGTCAATAATACAGTATAAAGAACAACACTGACCTGCATGGGAGGGTGAAGAAGCTGTTTGCCAAAAAGCCAAAATTCAAAGCAATGTGTGTAGTTTGAATCCAACACTGCCGGCACCTAAAAACGCACAGATAATGAGAGAATCTGGAAAGGACCGAGGATCTACTCTAGTGTGTATTTGATTATGTCCTCAGAACTGACTTTCAGTAATGGTGATACACTGTCACTTCTGGCTAATCTCGACAAACCTCTCAGGAGGTGTTGAAAGAATGTTAGAAGTTTTCATTATAGAAATCTAGTGAACTTAGAGGGTGTTTTTATTTATTTCATTTTTTTAAATTATTATCTTTTTTTTTTTTTCAATGCTATTTTTTTTCTGACTACATTCTAAAATGATGTGTCCTTTTTGGTTTCCCTGAAGATGTTCTTCTGTGTTTTCATAAGTTGAACTTGAAATGCCATCTGCAACCCACCACCAGCCCAGCCTCATTTATTCCAATGGACAGCCTAATTAGTCCTCTACCAGTATAAATAAATAAATAAATAAATAAACGCCTCACAATAAACTAATAGAACAGTGTGCTGTCAGGTATTGTGCTAGTAAAATCCTGTTTGGTTACAGTGCCTTATTGTGTTAACGTTCCCGTAGTCGCCAGTGCTCTTTGTGTGGGTGACGATATTGTTTCCTTTTTGTTTTCCCTCGGTTTGTCTTCTGCAGAGAATGCGGGGTGTTTCTTTCATGGGAATGTGTTGCGTGGAAATTCAATCCAAGCTAAAGCTACTTTGGGCCTCTTCCTCACTGTGTCCTTTATAAAGCAAGATTTGGTGTAAATGCTCCCCTCCTGATCTGTTCCTTACTCAACGTCAGCCCGTAACGGGGCAGCCACTGACATCTGCCTGGAGATTAGCTAGCACACCAGCTTAAACCCACAGACTTGCTCAAATGAACCTCATTTTAAAACAGTCCTATGGATTTGCTTGAAGACTGACAGATTATTTGGAAGAATTCTGTTAAAAGGATCTGTGTTAGAAGAATGTTCCATGGCATACCTCTGTCAATCGCCCTGGGCATTTGCAAATTCTGTCATGTCTGTAAAGGATGTGGCATCACTGGTCACTAAATGTCACATTGAAAAGTGTCCGAAATTCATAAAATTACATGCACACGACTATGGAGTGGTCAAAGCAGCTTTAAACTATATTTAACCTCATACATGGGCTGAATGTATTATTTCACATTTACTGTAGTGGGTGATGTGTATTTGAAACTTCCAAACTTCTTTTACTTCGGAGCGCCTTTAGCCCCGTTATACCATATATGTAAAATGCTAGCTATGATGTTAGCCTGGGTAAAACAATGGAGTTGGATTGCATTCCAAAAATGTTTCAAATATCATAAAGAACAATATGGTGTTGGTTCTTAACATTAAGTCGTCCAATATTCTCTCCACAATCCACAAAGTGTGTAAAGACAACATGAGCATGAGCTCATGCATCCCCATCCTTGACTAAATCCTGAAGGTCATCAGGACTGCATTTTTCTTCTAGCAGGAGCTTATTGACTATTGATGTCTACATGCCCTGATTCTCTGCCCAGCACCCAGTGCGAGTGCGAATGGGGGGGAAACTGTAGGATTGTTTGCTCGGTATGAATATCATGTCATTAGATTGATAACAGCAAGAACGGGAGGGAATGAGACTAGTGTTCTGGGTCCTTCACTGACTAATGTCCCGTAAAGAGGATTAACAGCAGCTACATTTGCATCGACACTAGCGTGCTTAGTTGAAATCGAGAGTCACGCAGAGAGGCTCGCAAAGAGGTATTGACACAAAATATTAAAAGCTGGGTCAATGGAAAAAAGACTAACTGGATTATTCAAATCCTACAGGGTGGCATTTCTACCAGGAAATGTGCATAATCAAAGCATTCACATGTCCTTTACCTTCTACTCATTTGCAGATGTCCTCAATAACTGCTCAGATTATAGTCAAAAAGGAAGACGGTCCATCTAAATAACAACAGGGTGGTATTGCGGCCCTGGAGTCAAAGTCTGCCAATATTGGATGAGAGCTGAAATGTCATATGCAGCTGAAGTCATGACGAAATATCAAAATCTGTTGAGGTATTTACAGAGAATGCCAAAGCGGCTCTAGCCTCCGCTGCGCCTTCCTGAAAACAAGAGAACAAACAGCTTCTAGGTTGGCACAATGAGCGATGGAAAGAAGGGAAAAAATCTTCATAATGCCTCACCTTTATGAAAAAATGAAATATCAGCAGGGTTCCACTACAAGGCCGACCGCTGCTTTTGCCATGAATCACTTGAGCGAGTGCGAAATGTCAGCTGAGTGGCCTTTTGCGGGAGGCTGGAGCTGGCCTTGAGAAGCCCCCCTTGTGGCCTTTCAGAGAGCCCTGTGAATTGAGGGGAGGGGGGCACCGGGGGGAACCGGGCCATGCCAGCACCATGGTGGGCTTTTCAACTACTCTGGTATCATCTCTCGGCCCACTACTTTTTCCACTGCGAAGTAGTGCACAGTAACTTCAGTGGCTCACTCCTATGCAATAGAGTAGTTTGTGTGAGGGGGAATTAGTGTTTGTATTCTTGCACAACTTGCTGATTTGAATACCGAAACATGCTGTCCAAATGTTATCAAACGCAAATATTTATCCATATTTGAAATGCCGGCAGAGAGTGCTCATGTTTACATGTACATAACAAACAGCAGCGCAATTGGACGATGCCAGAAAAGTCACGACAAGCCTACTGGGGCCAGTGGGCTAGCAAATACAAAATCAATTCCATTGTGTTTTTTGTGTTTTGATCCACATTAACAGAGCCTGCTCTGACACACCGCGTACGTCCCAAGCTGGTGTTTGGCTAGGAAAGACCAGCAAAAGGGTCACATTAGCATAAAAATTTGAGCTAGAGAATGCTAATCGCAGATCGACAGCAAGCAAAGGACAAGAGTGAGGCCCTTTCCCCACATCTGTTGTTCATGTCCGTTTTTCTAGGTGTACCTGACACAATTTGGCAAGATTTGAGCTTGGTATATGGCTCAATTTGGCTTAGAAATTGGGAACTGCTAAACTGTGACATTCGAGACTCAACCACTCAGCTGTCCAGACATCGCCCCAGAGAGGATAAAAGTGCAGAGCACATAACAGTGGTGATGATTTCAGCAATCCGGTGTATGACACTGTGAATTATGTTCAGCAGCCACCTGTCCTATCCTCCCCACACCTCCCTCCTGTAATACAGTGCTAGCGGGGCCGGGGTCATACCTAAGCTTCCCTCAGTTTGTACCGGCGTCAGCGATTCCCTTTATAGACTGTTCACACAATATGCTGCACAGCACTTTCTGTCTTTCCCTCTCTTTCCCCCTCAAACAAGCCCAGACAAGCACCCGTGTTCCCCGAGTGGAACCCAGCTGGGGGGTTTTAATTAGAGGTTAGGATTTTTGTAACGGATGTCTTTTTCATCTGCATGGGGACCCCACGTGTGCTATTCACTCATGTAAGCTGATGCCTCTGACATAACTTATGGCCATAACTTTGTGTCTACTAATCAAAACATGCTCCGGAAGCGTAAACACGCTTTAAATGGCTACTTTTGATATTTTTTCTTGGAAACCAAGGCTGCAGTGAATGCCTCTTTGTCAGTTCAGGTTTTTTCCCCATCAATTTTACGGAGTGCCAAGGGAGCCGTGACAGACACAGGAAAAACTTCATTAATCAAACACTTTACTATGCAAACAACATTTGTCAGTGTAAAACAAAGGCTTTTGATACAAAAAAAGAAGAAGATATCCCATTAACATTCAACAAGATGTTTAGACATAGGTAGGTTTTCTTTTTTTCTTTCCCATCCCTGTGAGGAAGTGATCCGAGTGTGTTATTTGTCCAGTCTTTACATGTTTAAAGATTAATGTTAACTATCTCATCGCATATCAGAATGAATTTAATTGGCCATATGCCACAAGAAGTTGAATTACAATTAGAATTAAAATAACAGGAGGAATTCATTGAACTACAATTTGATATTAGTGATGCACCCTGGGAAATTAAGTATCCTTTCACCCTTGTTAGCAAACATGTATTTATTCTAGTTGCCAATTGGCGATTGCATCAAATTCAAGGCATGTGTGCCTAAAGAATGACCACTGGCTCTGCACCCCTAAACCTAAACTCATTATATTAGACCTACATTCCACCCATGTATTCTGAGTGCGGTATTCTGATAGATTCAGCTGATCGGAACAAGCGCTGTTTTGACATGTTTGGGCTTTGATCACGTTCAGACAGCATTCGTGGATGCGTCACATTCCCAGTGGGAACATGACCATTGCAACGTAACGGTCAAGAATCGATGAGCTCCATAGAGTGAGAGTCCCCTCATCCACACCCAATCCATTTTTCTCCACGCGAGATAATACTTCGGCTGATGACCAGAGTGACCTAAGATGGCAGGTGTGGAACTAAATCGACGAAATATCCACAGTCCACACGGTTCCGAATGAGTCCCCTTTGACTTTTTGCGACTGCTCAGTGGCCTCTTCCGCCTTCTCTGCCCTCACAGAAGCCACGGCCAAGGGTGCACTGGGTTGCCTGTAGTTTTTCACCAATGCCTGTAGGTTTTCAAAGACCTATAGAGCTGTGGAGCATGCTGCCGCCTCACTGCATGTTATTGGCATCCTTCTGTGTGGGTAGGGACTATTCAGGACTCCTCCAAGAGCCGACTTGGATCTTGATCTACGAGCAACGAAGGTGACAGGTGATATCCACATGCATGGTCAGACATCTCTGGCTTACCCTGGTTGATATGTACGAGGCTGAGCGAACCCGATATCTCCCCCATATCACAGGTTGGCCTCTTCTCCAAAGAACTGCATCCCATCTGCATGTAACCTTGTCTTGACCAAAATAAACAAGCTGACATTCATTCAAATCTAGATATTTTATTTAGAATACAAACAAATGTCATTTATTTTGTCAAGTAATTTAAAGCACAGTTTAGCGCACTTAGCGAACATGAAGAAGGAGTTAAGTGCACTTACCAAGAAGGAGCCTATGATTGAATCTGGAAATAAAGCAAAATAACTGAGGAAAATGAGACATAGTCCTCAGAGGCAATGTTCATAATTTATAGCAAAACATCTAGTGTTAATTTGATCTCAAACAGATTAATTAAATAAAGTTATTACTCCACCACCTGGGTGACATCTTTAACCAGTTTGGTTGAACGACCAATTTGCGATAGTACAGTTTCAGGAAACAGTCGTGACTGGCTAGTTTATTTCTTCAAAGAAGCATCATACTACGGTAGTGAACCAGCGAGTTACTTCGTTTTATGGGAAATGCACCACAGGTTGATGACTGCTAGAGAATGCAGTGTTTACTCTTTAGCATCCTTGTTTGTGCACCCACCTCGCATGCCAGCGATCAGGGTTCAAGACCAACTCGAAGCAGGGTAGTAGGATTGAGGGGTGAGCTTTGAAGACAGATCAATGAAGATATGGGTGTATTTGTTTTGGTCATTCAGGAAACTTTTTTTTTTTTCAATTCGGTTTTGTGACACTACTGGTGTAGGCATTACACATTTCAGCTTTAACTGTTCATGCCATTGCTGTTCTACAATAAATCTAGCAAGTACACGAATGCCACCTTTTTTGCTGAGCTCAGCCCTTTTGCAGAGAGCATGATAGCTCCCTCTTTGTATTCATGCAGCATCTCCCAAAGAGAGAAATCTTAAGAACGGTCACTTACCATTCTGACAGCTCGTTGCCAGGCATGACGCCAACCTCCGCGCGGAGTGTAAAATCATGAGTCAGCCTTTTCAGATCCGGTGCCATTGTTCATCTGAAATGTCAAACAAGCCAAATATGCCTGTGGTTTAGCGCTAATGACAATGGAAGGTGAATGAAACCATCAAGTAGGCCAAAACCAGGACTGTGACCTACGTAACATCTATAAAGTCCAAAGAACACATGCAATTTCCTTGCTACTAGGTCTATTCCCTCTTGCAACAAGGAGCTGTTGGAATGGAATGGAATGGCAGGTAGTGTTTTATAAAAATTGAATGGCATTATCAGGCCCAGCAACTGAATTTCTAACTCAAGGACAAACACTCAGCTCTACGCAAAAGGTCTCGTTTCAGAATGAAACTTGTGTATGCTGTTGTCACTATTAAGAGCTGATTAAGATGTATGGTCCTTTTTAACACTGCACGTATGCATATTATACAACCAGCCTGATGCTTTAAGCTGCACATCTGACACAGTACATTTTTCACGGCTAGGAATGAAGAGAAAGAGAAAACAAGGCTGTGCTTTAACTAAAAGCCGCCAAGATGAATGATAGTCATGTTGGAATGATGTTCTTGAAGACAATGCTAAAGATTTCAATCTAGTCTTAATAGATGGCAGTGGTTAATTTACAACTTGCTCTGTCAATTCTTTTCATATTGTTCAGACCTCCAGCAACTTAAAGTTGAGTTCATTAACTTAAGGCCTCAAAGCCAGGCTCTTAAACATTTTAATTAAAAGAGTAAAAATCCATAACAACAGATTTAAGGACCCCGAGGCTCTAAGAATACAGTTAAAAGACCAGCAGAGGTCTTGGCCCAGCTTTTCCAAAAATGGGGTGCCATGTTCTTATTTTGCAGTCTCAATTGATTTGAAGACTAGAAATCTAAGTATTAGGAGGCTAATCTCTCTCTGATAAGTGTTGACTTTTTTAAAATTGTAATTAGAACACTCCTTTCTTAATTGGAACTCTAATCAGTTTGTCTTATGAATATTTAAAAATTCCAAAGATTGATTTTTTTAAAGAATAAATGCTTTAACATGGAGGGGGGGATTTAATCATGTGTTAATACAGGAACTTATTAATTTATAATTTATATTTCATATATATCCTAGCTGTTGTTTTTCAGATTTTGATTGATGTTGATTTATTTGAATGGGAATGATAACTATTTCCAGGTATTACATACCACTTTGATTTGACTAGGTGTTTAACTTAAAAAGTGCTCAAAATCTTTTAAATAAGACCGAAATCGAAGGTTTGGTATATGCGGCACATATCTACACAAATTATTAGTGAGCCATTATGAGTGTTTAAAGGTCTTCTTGTCCCAGCTGTGTCCAAAATCACCCCAGGGTCATCAACAACATATCTATACAACCTTTAAAACACTGGACTCACCACTCACTCATTGTCAGCTGTGACCCTGAGTCTCTCACTTACAGAACATCTCCCTGAAGTTTGATATGATGGGATCAGGCAGGGGTCTGCGGGAGCCTGAGTAGTCTGATGGATGAGGGATTGAAGGCTAGCCAGATGATAGATCTGGACTGGAACATGTCCGCCGAGTTACTGCCAGAACTGACAGCTCAACACAATGGTGATGTCTATAAAGATCTGTGTGTCTGAATGCATGGATGACAAGGAAAGGGAGCAGGGATGTTGAAGAAAGAAGGACTGTTTAGAAGATCTCTCTAGCGGGGGGCTATGATGTAAAATCCCTGAATTTCTCTGGAATATTCATGTAGACCACGCAGGGAATAGCAAAGTTTAATTTGGGCTATATTACTTTTTAACCTATTCTAGATACAGCTGCAGCTGAGAGGAAATACGATCCCCCGTGATGATGATCATTTCATGTTAAAGCTTCAAAATCCAGAGCAGTTTAATCAGTAAAAATATTTTAAATATTCATATACCCCAGATGCACATTCGTGTAGGGTCTTCCTGCTGGATTTTGGACACATATAATGTGGATAGTTTTTATCCTTTGGGATGGTCTGAATTATTCAAGACTGGCTGATTGAAAAAGCCGCTAATTCCCTGATCAGATTAATTAATTTCTCAATAAGAATGCTTCCATATTTTCTTCAAAAAGTAGAGAAAATGCCAAATTATCCCATCCTTCTGAATGGAACTAATTTCTTTGCTGTAGGTCTGTGTGGGCTCCTGTGATCAGGATGGCTTTTCAAAGCAGACCTCAAAAACAAGGAGCATGATGGGAAGCGACTGAGCGTTAAGAGGGAGCGCCAGGGGCGACACGTTAGCAAAGAGGGCCACAAAACTCAGCATTCCAGTTGCCAAGGCAACCAGCCGAACATTTTGCGTATATACAAAAAGGCAAGCAGGTTTGACTGCGAGGCAAACACACAACACTCAGTTATGCAGAGCAGCGTATGGATGATTATTTAGAGACTAAAAAAAAAAAAAAAAAACAGCCTGAAATTGCTCTGCAGCTAATTGTGAATTTCAGGGAACATAAACTTCAGAGTCATTTTGTGAAAGCTAATTGTAACAAAGCAAGGGGCTTTGCTTAAAATAGATGCTGCATTTATTACAATTTGCTAAAATATTATACTTTTTAATATATTACATATTAATAAAAACAAAAATGTTGTCTGAAATTAGGATAATAGTTAAGATAATATACTGTGAACCCCAGAAGATTTCATCATAAATCCCCATAGAATATTGTTCATTTTCCCCTCAAGATACCCAAAATGTGGTTTTAATGTTTGTGAAGTAATTAGGTTAAACTGGGGGAGAATGGCAGTGTTTTGCCTTAGGTGGATGGTTAATGTGTATAAAATTATATTTCAGACTAAATCATAAGGCTTCAAATCTAATCTAGAGATGGTCCTGATTTGCATAATGTTCTCTTTTTAAATATGTATATTAATAAGTGAATGAGGACATGGGAAGTGGAGTACATTAGCATGCTTTTAAAGGAACTCGTGTGATCTGTGATGTGGCCAGGGCACAGTCTCTGCAATGCATTCAAATAGCGGTTCTGGGCCCATAATGAGCCTGGGCCGAAGGGAGACTGACATGATTAAGAACTGAATTCCAAATGGTAATTTTTTCACTGTGGTTTTAGTTAAGAAATGTTGTTTATGTGTAAAATTGAGCCAGGCTCCATTTCAAGGGCTTTAATGGTCTCATTGGTGACTAAATGGCGGTAGAGTTAAATGAGAATGAAACACTCATTCTTACGTACACCAGCACATGTACTGTATGTGTTTTTTATGTGGAAAGATGATTTCCATTACATGAGAGTTGATGTTAAAACTTCATTCTGATTTGTACTCAGCTTTCGCCACGATAAGCACAAACTAAGACGTAGCTTTACAGTAACCTATGCTTCTCCGTCTATTTACATTTCTTTCCATATGGTGATGTCAGTCTCCTTCTGTCTGGTGTTAACGGCTGCAGTGTACTTGGCATGTCAGCAATACACAATGGCTGCAACTACAGTGGTTGAGGTTGAGGTTCTTTTCTTTATTATGCTGGTTAGTCTGTCCAAGTTCACAAGGATCAATATGTTCATCACTAACTGTGCAAACCCTCCTCTCCTCTATGACAGGGGTGCTGATATCCTGAGAACTGTGGTTTGCTTCCTGTCGCTGGATTTCATTCGACTGACTTAACTGACTTTGTAAGACGTTCTGATCAATGTGAGGTCCTTGTCCCTTCTCCCTCAAGCATTTCATTTTCCCTTGAATCCCCTTTCCCTCAAACCCCTGACCATTGTCACATTGCTCCAGCCACAGACAAGACAAGCTTGGAGTTCAATGACTTTACTAAATGCAGATCTTGAACTAGTCTTACTCCCCATACTCATATAGGTTTCCATCCCTAAGTTGTTAACCATGTTGTCATCTTCCGCCCCCACTCTATGGATTAATAGGTTTGGACCCCAGTGTTCATATTAGAAAAAATAAAAAAAGATTAAAAGAAAATAATTCAGAGCAACTTGAGTCACTTTAAATACCCTGTATGCATTTGCTTATTTTTACATTACATTTCTTGTTTTTATTTTCTTAGTATATTTCAGCAGCTTTAAATGACGCCATTCTGTCCCTTATGTAGCCACACCCCTTCTTGAATATTATTGGCTATTCAGATATCTGTTATTTGATTACTATCTTTGTCCTCTAAGAAGGTCAGACATTTCTAGTGTGCTTCAATCATCATCTGAAATTAAGTTGTATAACCTCAGGCCAATTATAATTTATATTCAAAAACATACCAGCGGCTGTTTGAGTCAAGGTGATTGTCCAGGTGTATTGCATTGTAGATCTGTGGTAGAGAACAAAATGCTGTATATCTGCCCACCTATAAATCAATGAGCCATTTCCTAAGAATAACCAGTTAGGTTTCACTTGCTTTCTTGAATTTACGGACATAAGGTTAGAATAATTAAAACGTCCTCCAAATGATGTTAGATTCTGGATTTTGTGATTCTCTCACAATGTTAAAGGCGGAGAATTGTATGTATATTTTTAAATAAATAAGATAAATAGGTTTCACTTTTTTTGGATGGTCCTTTTAACACATTTAGTTGACTTTAAGTAACATCTCTACTAACTCTCACTAGAGAGTAGAGTATCAGTAGCCTGGTAGGGTTAGGGATAGAATAAATTGGCGTGCAGTTGCAAAGTCACATAAAGATTGTCCGTAGACTGTCTGTTGAATATAGCATCACAATGAAGAGCTGGCAGATATTAAGCAGACAGTCTACTAATACTCTAATGAGAGCAAAGTTACTTATAGTCAATAAGATGTTAAAAACAGACCATCAAAATAAAGTGTTACTCATACATTAATAGTCTCTCTAAGGCATTAGCTTAGTTTTTAGCAATTTCATCCTTTCAGTGAGAAATAAGCGGCAGTTTATGTGAGCTGCAGATTTGCTAGAATCACTTACTGTGAACAGCAAGATAGAAGTGCTACACTGCCTGCAAAAACACCAGGATGGCAGGATTTTCTTTAGACTGATTATAGGGGTGGTGATGGTGCAGTGGATAAGACACATGCCTTT